CTTGCTTGTCTATCTAAATTTGTATGTACGGACGATATGTTCTTATTACGAGTTTGCCAGTGAGCGCAAATTTATCCGACACTGTTTAAACCAAAATCAACCCCCAAATCTTCATTTAAAAGCTGAAATTAAAAGCACTCCACTGATCCTACAAACAACTGCACAGGAAACCCACAAAGGAATGTTACTCTCTCTGAAATTGACACCTTGTTATCTTTAAAAATATTTGGCAACACTAATTACCTCACCAGAAATTAATTTGTTGTTTTAACTGTATCCTTGTCATATCGATTAAAAACAGTCTGCTGATCCTACAAACGGCAAAGGAAAGCTGCAAAGCCTTCACCTATCACCTGTGCGACTTACTTGTCTATCTAAACTTGCATGTATGGAGGATATGTTCTTACTATGAGTTTGCTGTGAACGCAAGTTTATCCGATACTGTTTAAACCAAAATCCACCCCTAAATCTTCTTCAATTAAAAGCACTCCGCTGAACCTACAAACGGCAAAGGAAAGCAGCAAAAGAACTCCCAGAGTGCATTTTGCTTTCACAGGGGGATAAAAAGTGCATGAGATAAGCGCACGGACATAAGCGCGACAAACTACGCGAAATCACTATCCAAAGGAATGCATGCCTGCCAGCATGAAGCGATTACGTCATTGCTTAAAAAAGCTTTCATTTATGGATGTTTCTTACGTCTCTGCAGTAGCAGTTTATTTTTATTTGATGGGCATTTTATGACATTCTTCTCAGTCCGATATTTTTAAAGGTACTGCGTGGCACCAAGTTAAAGTGAAATTTAATTAAATCAGACTTTCAATGTGTCAGAGAGGTTTTTTCCCCCTATCTTTCTATTTTCGGTGTAGTAGTGTTGTTGTGTTGTGTTGTGTAAAAAGGGTAAACTTGCGACTCGTATAAAACGCGAAAAGGTCTCTTAACTTGAGTATTTTTTAGCAAAAATTCCTCTTGGGGGTTGGAAGGGCTCTGTGATCAGTGAGTGAAGGGGTTATGCATATGCACGTGTCACACCAATCACAGTGTGGATTTTATCAAAGAATGAATCAAAGGAAAAAAATAAGATGGTATCTACATTAATCTGGAGACGTATCAGATTACTGTAGCTTGTTCAGTCAAACATTTTATGGCTTACTGTTTAGCTATCTTACCATTACCGATGTAACATTGCAAGTTCATCATAAATTCCCAGTTTCATTCTTGCTGTACAACGCAACCAAAAGAACTTGTCAAATTAACCAAATCATTACTGTAAACAGCTCCATAAATGCTCCTATCTCCAAGACTTCACAAAAAAAAAATTGTGTCACCTGATAAATGGAAACATTAACTAGTACACACCTTCTTCTCCAAAAGTGCAAGCCTTTTAAGAGCCTCTTTCTCTCCACCAACCCAATCCTCCTGTTCATGCTCTTCCTCATCCAACTCGAGGGCATCGTACTGCGGTACTCCATAAATCTGATCATGATTATCTTTAACAGGAGTCTTACAATTTTCAAACATATCCTGGTCAACATCAGGGGCACAGCTGGCTGGAGTGCCAAGCTTGTTTATGAGGCACTCAAATTGTTTAAATGTAACTGGGACATTTCCATGATTCAACTCAATAACCCTATAATGAGAAGTAAAGATTTGAGTCATTTATTTTTAAGAAAGCCCCAAGTAAGATTTAACAAAGGCTCTCCTAAAGACAGCTTATGATATTTGAAACAGACAAGCCCATATCATACATATGACAAGGGGGATAAAAAAGATCTAGATGAAACCCAAGCAGACATTTTGTTCACAATGGTTAAGCAAATGTTGCCCCTCTCGAGAAATACCCTGATCAGCAGAATTACCAACCAAAAAAGGTAATGAACCATTGAGTGACTGACTGACCAGGCTGGTGAATTGTATCTTCCCCAACTAACTGCTAAAACTCCCTCTTCAAGTTTCCACAGTTTATTTCTTAAAGAGAAACTAAATAAATGTTGCAAAAGTTCTATCAAGTAATAAGTGAAAAAGAAACAGATGAATTGAACCACAATTGTCTTTATTTAACACCATGCTGT